ATAAATGTAGGGGAAAGAGATAAAGGCGTCATACTCCAATTAGTGTACAGGAGAAGTTTTGTTTAAAGAAGAAAGATAAATGGATAGCTGGAAACAGAACAGACAAAGAATAATAAATATTATGATTTGAATTGAAATGAGATAAATAAAATAAAACTAAGAAAATTTAAAAGAGATGAGAAGCTATATAGAAAATTGAAAATGGTAATAAGATATGGAATGGTATACAAAATGAATATGAATTTGAATTTGTGTCTGTGCGAAGAGTTGTAACCTGGGACTAAGCAACTTTCAGAAAAGATGTTTTTTATATTTCTATGTTTTGTGTCTTTGTGTGTTTATGTTTGATTGAGTTAATAAAACCTTGGAGGAACGTTAGAAGAGGACAATTGAGAATAAAAGATAGAAGAGAATAAAGCAAGTTAGAAGAAACTTGAAAGGATATGTATGCGTTTATAAGGAGATGTGTCAATGGTATATAAAATGTTTTATTTGTTTTATTTGTTTTGTTAAAATTTACAAATAACTTTCAGAAAAGAGGTTTTATGTTCTTTTGTTTTATGTTTTGTATGTCTTTAAAAATCAATAAAATTTGTTTTTTTTAAAAAAAAAAACTTCCAAATTTAAGGAGGCACTACTTTAGGACAACTGGCTAACAAAAACATTTGCTTACTCAAAGATGATCTAGCCCGGGTAAAAAACAAACTTTATGTCCCTGCCATGAAACAATGCCATGACTCAAAAATGGCTGGACACTTTGGATTTGTAAAAACCCTGCACCTCATCAAAAGACAATTCTGGTGGCCATCTCTCAAAAAAGATATTGAAAGCTATGTTGCTAGATGCGCTGCTGCAAAAAGAAGACAAGGAAAATCCCTTGGGCTTTTACAACCAGTGGCAGAACCTTCAGCACCCTGGAGAGAGAGATCTCTATGGACTTTATAGTGGAGCTCCCTGAAAGTGCAGGAAATACTGTTATTTGGGTTGCAACTGACCTTTTTTCAAAACAGGTTCATTTTGTACCCTGCCAAAAGATCCCAACAGACATTGGCAAAGATGTTTCTAATACACATTTATTGCCTCCATGGAGCTCCCCAACAGATTATCTCAGATAGGAGTTGTACAATTCACATCTACATTTTTGCAGGCATTTTTAAACCTATTAGGCTCCACCCGGGGGTTGTCCTTGTCCAATCATCCGGAAACTAATGGCTTGACAGAGAGAGCTAATGGTGTATTAGAACAATATTTAAGATGCTTTATTAATTACCAATTGAAATGATCTTTCTTTTGCAGAGGTAGCATACAATAACTCAGTCCATAGTAGCATGGGGTTCACCCCATTCCAAGTAGCCACAGGACAAGAATTCAACCCCATGCCAGAACTACCTACCATGGAACCTGAAATTCCCTCCCTTAAGGAGTGGATAAATAATTTGTAAACCATTTGGCTAGTGGTCAGACTAGCTAGAACAGCCTTCAAAGCTCTAGCGGACAAAAAATGCTGTGATCCTAAACTATTCAAAGTCGGGGACTGCGTATATTTGTCTACAAAGTCCCTAAAATCATTGCAACCCTCTAAGAAACTGGGACCTAAATTCATTGTCCCATTTTCCATCTCCAGAATTATCAATTCTGTTAGTGTAGAGCTTCTACTTCCCAAAACACTAAGACAGGTTCATCCAGTATTTCACTGCAGCCTACTCAAACCAGAGATCACTTCAAAACTTCGACCTCCCCTTCCCACACCTCCAACTCCCTATATGGTACATAGGGAACAACATTTGGAAATTAAAGATATCCTTGATTCGCGCACTTACCATTGATCCACACAATATTTAATAGCTTGGAAACACCTTCCCTCCTCACAAAATGAGTGGGTAGCCAACGACATATAAAAGCACCCACATTACTACGGAAGTTCCACCTGAAATACTCTCACAAACCATCCTAAATTGTAAATGGAACACATGTTTATGTCTTCCAGGTGAATTTCTTAATTTTTTGACGAGAGCAATATGTCAGATCCGTGTATCTGCCATTCTTTATTGGCTGCCTCATTTCGTATCCATTCAAAGTTTCCATTATATAAAACATAGCTTTGAGACCAATCCTCATACACTGCTCAAAAAAATAAAGGGAACACCAAAATAAGACATCCTAGATCTGAATGAATGAAATATTCTTAATAAATACTTTGTTCATCACATAGTTGAATGTGCTGACAACAAAATCACACAAAAATTATCAATGGAAATCAAATTTAGCAATCCATGGAGGTCTGGATTTGGAGTTACACTCAAAATTAAAGTGAAAAAAAAAACACTACAGGCTGATCCAACTGTGATGTAATGTCCTTAAAACAAGTAAAAATGAGGCTAAGTAGTGTGTGTGGCCTCTACGTGCCTGTATGACCTCCCTACAACACCTGGGCATGCTCCTGATGAGGTGGTGGATGGTCTCCTGAGGGATCTCCTCCCACATCTGGACTAAAGCATCCCCCAACTCCTGGACAGTCTGTGGTGCAATGTAGCGTTGGTGGATGGAGTGAGACATGATGTCCCAGATGTGCTCAATTGGATTCAGGTCTGGGGAACGGGCGGGCCAGTCCATAGCATCAATGCCTTCATCTTGCAGGAACTGCTGACACACTCCAGCTACATGAGGTCTAGCATTGTATTGCATTAGGAGGAACCCAGGGCCAACCGCACCAACATATGGTCTCACAACGGGTCCAAGGATCTCATCTCGGTACCTAATGGCAGTCAGGCTACCTCTGGTGAGTGCATAGAGGGCTGTGCGACCCCCTAAAGAAATACCACCCCACACCATTACTGACCCACTGCCAAACCGGTCATGCTGGAGGATGTTGCAGGCAGCAGAACATTCTCCACGGCATCACCAGACCCTGTCACGTCTGTCACATGTACTCAGTGTGAACCTGCTTTCATCTATAAAGAGCACAGGATGCCAGTGGCAAATTTGCCAATCTTGGTGTTCTTTGGCAAATGCCAAAAGTCCTGCATGGTGTTGGGCTGTAAGCACAACCCCCACCTGTAGACGTTGGGCCCTCATACCACCCTCATGGAGTCTGTTTCTGACTGTTTGAGCAGCCACATGCACATTTGTGGCCCGCTGGAGGTCATTTTGCAGGGCTCTGGCAGTGCTCCTCCTGTCCCTCCTTGCACAAAGACAGAGGTAGCAGTTCTGATGCTGGGTTGTTGCCCTCCTACGGCCTCCTCATCTCCTGATATACTGGCCTGTCTCCTGGTAACACCTGCATGCTCTGGACACTATGCTGACAGACACAGCAAACCTTCTTGCCACAGCTCGCATTGATGTGCCATCCTGGATGAGCTGCACTACCTGAGCCACTTGTGTGGGTTTTAGACTCCGTCTCATGCAACCACTAGAGTGAAAGCACTGCCAGCATTCAAAAGTGACCAAATCATCAGCCAGAAAGCATAGGAACCGAGAAGTGGTCTGTGGTCACCACCTGCAGAACCACTCCTTTATTGGGGATGTGTCATGTCCCTGGTGGAGACTGACTCTGAGGAAGAGGAGGAACAGCCAACAGGGAGTGGGAGTGTGGCTCCAGAGGTGGTGGAGGAGGCTGGGGAAGGGCAGAGGCTGGCTGAGCAGTCAGAGGAGGATCCAGGCCCATCCCCTATCCATGCTAGGTCACGCAGGGATGAGAGGATCAGGGAAAAGTGAGGTCTACTCAGGAGATTACCATGATCCTCCTTGTGGCTTGCAGCTGGGAGCTATGTATATAAGTTTGCAACTGCGCAGTTAGAATTTGCAGGAGTGAATTTAGTGTTCCTTAAAAGAGGTTTATCTTTGCTGGCGTTCTTCCCATGGATTCTCCTCAATTATTTTCCTGGAGCTTATGAATAGTTATCTTGGCTTGCTTTGGAACTCTCGTCAATGCTGTTTGTTTAGTTTTCTTTTTGGCTCATTATTTACTTTTGTGACTTTAAACTGTGCCTAATAAAACAGTGAAGTTAAGTTGAAGGGCTTACCGGACTTTGTTTTGGGTTATTTTGAGAGACTACAGGTCATCACAGGATGTCTTGCTAAGTGCTTTCCACCTGTTGTCTATTCCATTTGCACAACAGCATGTGAAATTGACTGTCAATCAGTGTTGCTACCTAAGTGGACAGTTTGATTTCACAGAAGTGTGATTGACTTGGAGTTACATTGTGTTGTTTAAGTGTTCCCTTTATTTTTTGAGCAGTGTATTTACAATTCATTGTAGTTGCTTGTGGTTATGTTATTATCATCTATGTGCTTTGCAACTGGTACACATTTGTAACTGTTGCAGCATCCCACAATCACATGATTGCTATTCACTTGCATCCAAACCAGCTTGCAACAAGCAGAGCTAACAGACCACAGAAGTAAAATTGCAAGTTATGGTCATATAATGTTTTTGCTTAACAACCCAATGGAAAGTGACATCATAAGCCCATTATGGCCATGTGAGCTTCTACTTAGTGACTGCAACATTTAGCAACAGAACTGCTGGTCCCAATGTTGGTCATTAAGCAAGGATTGCCTGCATCAGATTCAGTTTTTATTGAATAAACAAGCTTTATAAGTATTATTTATAAATTATAAATAATACAAACTGTAAATACTCCAAACAAGGATACACATACTCTCTATATTATAAGATGGAAAGCAGAAGTTTATCTTTGTAGGTGCTTAAAAACTTTTATCAAGTTGGTCAAAATACATGGTATACATGAAGCCAGCCTGGAAATGTGAGATCTTGGTATTCATTCTAGTTCTGATTCAACAGATGTACTTAGCAGGGATCAGTCCATTTGAAATCAGATCAGAAATTTGTGACAGAATCAGGATTTGTTTCAAGCCAAGGAGCTGTACAAAATGCTCTTTTGCTGGTCCTTCCTGAGAGCCTGGGCTCTTTTGCCCTCAGACTACCTGTATTTCTAGATAGTATAAGGCACATGAAATTATGCAGGCTATTAACTCACCTAAGTAATCCAGTGCACAGGCTACATTGCTACCCAACAAGGGCACTTGTTCCCTGGAAATTTGAGTCCAGCAGGCATCATTCCCCACAAGGGCAATAACAGGTATCTGAAAGAGTGGAATAACTATGTTAAACTGAAAAAGTGATTGAGGAAGCTATTCTCTACTCCAGTAGTCCCCAACCTTTCTGGCTCTGTGGACCAGCGGGGGATGATTTCACACACATAACCTAATCCCATACATGCGCAAATGGACCTCTGCATGCTCAACTGCTGCTTACGCAGCCGAGTTTCTAACGGGCCATGGATGGGTAGCCAGCGGTGAACCAGGGGTTAGGGACCTCTGCTCTACTCTTGACTTTATTTGATTAAAATTGTCCTCAATGCTGAAAGACTCTTGGGAGCTTACAAAAAAAATTAAATTAAATTAAACGCAATACCCAAGAAAAGTGCTGTCTGCCAAAAAGTGAACTGAAGATAAGGTGTACTGGAATTATCCAGGTTTAACTTGTTGGCAGAAAGTAAATAAGGTGGGAGCCTTGCATATTTCTGGAGGGAGAGTGCTCTACAAAGCGGAGAAATATCTACTGCCTTATTCAGATCCCTATACCTCTTGAGAAGGGGAGACTTTCAGCAGGTCTTCCCAAGATTACCAGACCAAATAGGAGGATTCAATTCTGGAAAGTCATTTCAAGATGTATCCCAGTGTTGTTTCTGTACATGATTTTAAACATAATGACTCCTGTGTTTTCTACTGGGGCTGTTGGGTCTTTTGGTTTACTCAGGATGTTTTGGAGGACTTAAATTGGTTTGTATGCTATGCTGATGCCATGAGGTTATAACAGTCTGTTGACTCAGAAGCCCAGAAGAAAAAACAGGAGTCATCTACAACAGTGGTCGCCAACCGGTGGGCCGTGAGAAAATTTTGGTGGGCCACAGAGAAATGTCCTCCCCAAAACACCCCCCACAAAAGCAATTAATCCAGGCTGCTCCCTGGATTATGGCCCGCCCAGCCACTGGCCCCCACCCTTCGGCCAAGCACAAACCTTGAAAAAGCAGCACAGCCCTTGCTGGCCAGGACGAGGTAATGGTGCTGTTGCAGCAAGAGGGGGCTGGTGGCACAGGCGGGCTGAAGCATCGATGGAGATGGCTGGAAGGTGCAGGAGCGCCACACTACTTGCATTTGCGCGGCACTCCCGTACCTTCCAGTTTGCCTCTCCTGGTCTGGGCTCTTCCTTGATGGCCACGGGCTGTAGATATGGCCCAGGAAAAGTACCGGCTGGTGGTGGTGGGAGGGGGCGGAGTGGGCAAGTGTGCGCTCACCATCCAGTTCAGAGGTCCAGAATGGGGTGTTGGCGTCATCAGTTTCCTCGTCCCTCTTGGCGCTCTGCTGGCCCCCCAGCCCAGCCATTGCTGCCCAGGGAAAGCACAGGAAAAGCGAGCAGAAACATAGCTCTCACTGGGGCAAAAGAGCTGAGATCGAGGAAGGCACAGGCAAGAGAAGATGGAAGCTGCCGCCTTTGAAAGCGTTGCTTTCTGTTGTCTGTGTCTTCCGATCTCTGGTCTTTTGCCCCAGTGAGAGCTACGTTTCTGCTCACTTTCTTTTCTTGCAGGCGGGCAGCAGAGACATCAGGGCTAGTCTCACCCCTCAGCAAGCCAGGCCTGGAGGAATGCAAAGAATTGCGGGCGAGCACCAGAGAAAGGTGTGTTGGAAATGCCAACACACGTTTCCAGCATGCTCCTCTCTGTCCTGAAGTAGGATTGAGTGGAGGGAAGGGAGCAGGGGGAAGGAGAAGCTCAGCTGGCTTTCCTTTGGCATGGGGCAGGGGGAGAGACCAAATGCAGACCAAAAGAGTGCCGAGGAAGATGGGCTCCTAACAACCAGCCTGTTTGTGCAGGCAAGAGCTCGAGCTTTTCTGGGCTCGACACCCCCCGCCCTTTGGCCTTCACACAGGGAGGGACCCTTCTCTGCTGGGAAGCGGTGGGAGAAACCTTGAGCTTAGCCTTATGTGGAGGCTGAAGGGGAGGAGTGTTGCCTGGTTATTAGGGGCCCGTCTTCATCGGTGCTTCCAGCCCGGCTCTCCTTCCCTCCTGCAACTCCAGGCACCCGCACCTGGCAAAGGAGGGAGAGGTTTCCTCTGACTTGGGGGAGATATGAGATGGCTCTGCTTTTCTTCCATTTGTGGGGGAGCCGGTTCCTCCCCATCCAGATTTTCCCAGACCCCAGGCACCATGTGGCTTCCTAAATCCTCCCTCTTTCTCTGCCAAAGATGAGAGAGACTCCTCCTTTCCCTTTGCTCTGCCCCACAGTTATGATTAAGCATTTACAATTTTGTTATAATTAAATAAG